ATGGATGTATTTATAACCCATATTTGATAGTTAAGATATAGCGAAATAACTACCTGCCGAAACAAAGAAATTCAGAACAATAGATTCGACTTGGAAGACAATAGTAACACAAGCAAAAGCAACAGGAAATGTATTAAAAGTATGCACAGAGGAAGGTTTATATGACAAACTTAAAGAATCAAATAAAAATCTGGAAATGATTCAAAAAGAACTTAATAATTATTTAGAAAAAAAGCGTGAGAAATTTGCCCGATTTTATTTTCTTTCAAATGATGAATTATTAGAAATCCTTTCTTAAACAAAAGAGCCGACCGCAGTCTAGCCTCATTTAAAAAAAGTCTTCGAAAATATCCACTAAATAGAATTTGACGACTAAAAAAAAATACACGCAATGTACAGTGCTGAAAATGAAAGAGTCCCTTTCGAAAAAATAGTCGACCCAAATAAAAAAAACGTCGAAGAATGGATGTCCGAAGTGGAAAATATGATGAGAAAATCCGTTAAAAAAGCTTTAAACGAATCTGTTTCTGACTATATGAATAAAACAAGGCCCAAATGGTGTATTAGTCACCCAGGCCAATGTGTATTAAACGGATCTTAAGTACACTGGACTTCAGAAGTTGAGGAAGCCATATTAAACGAAGGATAAGAAGATAAAATAGGGATATAAGGTTACTGGAGTAAGCTATAAGAATAACTAAATGATTTAGTAGAACTCGTATGTACTAAATTAACAAAAATGCAATAAGTTACCATAAATGCACTCATAGTAATTGATGTACACGCAAAAGACGTAGTTTGGAGATTAAAGCAAGAAAACGTTAATAATATAGCAGCTTTTGAATGGATATCTTAACTTCGATATTACATAGAAAACGAAGACCTAAGAGTTAAATGTGTATAAACAGACTTCCCTTATGGATATGAATATCTTGGGAACACACTCAGACTTGTAATTACGCCTTTAACCGATAAATGCTATATGACTCTTATGGGAGCCCTTAAATTAAATTTAGGAGGGGCACCAGCGGGACCGGCTGGTACTGGTAAAACAGAAAGTACGAAAGATTTAGCTAAAGCTTTGGCTAAGTAATGTGTAGTATTTAATTGCTCAGATTCTATGGATTATATTATGGTTGGAAAGTTTTTTAAAGGACTAGCTTGTGCGGGGGCTTGGTGTTGTTTTGATGAATTTAATAGAATTAATATAGAAGTGCTTTCAGTTATTGCTTAGTAATTATTGTAACTGTTTGGAGCAAAAGACAAAGGAATTTAATAGATTGAATTCGAAGGATCTAATATTAAGATTTTACCTACTTTTTGTGTTTTTATTACTATGAATCCGTAATTTGTTTATTTATTAAAAATAATATATATATATATATATATATATAGAGGTTATGCTGGACGTACTGAGCTTCCAGATAATTTAAAAGCTCTTTTTAGAAGCGTAGCTATGATGGTTCCCGATTATGCCATGATTGGGGAAATTATGTTATACAGTTTCGGTTTTAAGCAAGGTAGAGATTTAGCAAGAAAAATGGTTGTTACATTTAAACTTTCATCTGAATAACTATCTTCTGAAGATCATTACGATTATGGAATGAGAGCTGTACGTTCAGTTATTAATGCAGCAGGTATTTTATTTATTTTTATACAATAATATTTTTAAATAAATAAGGTTTACTTAAAAGTTCATAACCGAATATGGAAGAAGATAAATTATTACTTAGAGCTTTAAGGGATGTTAATGTACCTAAATTCCTAAAAGATGATATTCCTTTATTCGAAAATATAATAAACGATCTTTTCCCAGGAATAGAAAGACCAAAATATGAATATGGTAATTTACTTTCATAAATAAGTGAAGTTTGTAAAGAACCAGATATTGTATTATAACCAACTTAACCTTTTGTGGATAAAATATTATAATTATATGACACAATATAAGTATAAAAATATTATATTTATATGTTAAATATATATATATATATATTATAAAGGTTCGACATGGATTAATGTTAGTTGGCCCTACAGGAGGTGGAAAAACATCTAACTATAAAGTATTATAAAGAAGTTTAAGTGTTTTACACGACAAAGGATTTTACAAAGTTCACACACATATAATGAACCCCAAAAGTATAACGATGGGGCAACTTTACGGATAATTTAACGAATAAACTCATGAATGGACTGATGGTATTCTTGCATATATAATAAGAGAAACAGTAAAAGATACATCAGAAGAAAAACATTGGATTTTATTCGATGGTCCAGTTGATGCTGTTTGGATAGAATCAATGAATACAGTACTTGATGACAATAAAAAACTATGTCTTAATAGTGGTTAGATATTAACACTGACTCCTCAAATGACTATGATGTTTGAAGTAGAAGATTTAGCTGTTGCATCACCTGCAACTGTAAGTAGATGTGGTATGGTCTATATGGAACCTATTTCTTTAGGTTTATAACCTTTAGTAGACTCCTGGATATAGAGATTACCAGCAAATATAGCCAAAAGAAATAAAATAATAGATAGACTATAATTTTTATTTAGGGAACTATTGGAAGTTTCAATTCATTTTTTGAGAAAACAATGTAAAGAAATTATACAGACAGGTGATAATAATATTACTTAATCTCTATAAAGAATACTTTCTTGTTATTTTTAAGAATATGCCGAAGGTGAATTTAAACGAGTTTCAAATGAAGAACTTGATGTTCTGTAAAATAATATAGACGAGCTTTATGTTTTTGCTTAAATTTGGTCGATTTTAGCTACTTGTGATTACGAAAGTCGCGAAAAATTCTCGTTATTTTACAGAGATTTAATAAATATGAAGCTCCCCCAGTTAAATTTTCCTCCTGAAAGTTTAGTTTATGATTATTATTTTAATAAAGATTAAAAAACCTTCCAAAATTGGCAAACGATGTACAAAGATTTTGAAATAAGCTTAAAATTGTAATATCATGAGATAATGATTCCCACAAATGATTCTACAAGAAATATTTATTTAAAAAAATTACTTATTTCCTAAGGTTTCCATGTAATGTGCCCGGGACCAACAGGAACTGGTAAATCCTAAAACTGTTATTCTTTATTGACAGGATAAATGCCTGAAGAATATCAATACATAGCTCTTACTTTTTCCGCTTAAACCAGTGCTAATTAAACTTAAGATACTATAGATAATAAAACTGACAAAAGGAGAAAAGGTATATATGGACCTCCTATTGGAAAAAAATGTATCATTTTTGTCGATGATATTAATATGCCAAAAAAAGAAATATATGGAGCTTAACCGCCTATTGAATTACTAAGATAATTCTTAGATCATGAAGGTTGGTATGATAGAAAAGAATTATTTTTTAAAAAATTCTAAGATATAATTCTTTTAACTGCAATGGGTCCTCCAGGAGGAGGTAGAACTAATATAACAGCTAGATTTTCAAGGCATTTTAATATACTTGGTTATCCAGAATTGAATAGAGACATCATTTCAAAATTATTTTAAATTTTAGTTACTCATTTCTTTAAAAGATTTAGTACTTCAGTTACTAATATTATTGGTTAATTAATTGAAGCTGTTATTAATGTATATTATAAGGTAAATAAAAAAAAATAATATAATATATATATAAAAATAAAATAATAATAATATTATAAATATATATAAAAAAAAATAGATAAATTTAATATATATAATATTTATATATAAAATTATATATAATTATATATTTTTTTATATATATATATATATATATATTATATAAATATATATAATTTTAGGTTAAAACTGAATTATTACCTACTCCTTCTAAAAGTCATTATACATTTAATTTAAGAGATATTACTAAAGTATTTCAAGGCATGTGCTCTGTTTCTTAAAAAACATGCAATGATTCTAAAAACGTAATTAAATTATGGTATCATGAAAACATGAGAGTTTTCCATGATAGACTTACAACTGAATATGACAGAGAGTATTTAAAAGGCATTCTATCTGATTATTTTGAATAATTTAGTTATAAAAAAGCAGATATTATAGACGTCGAAAGAATAATATTTGCTGATTTTATGCAAGGAAGAGTAAAATAATTTTATTATAAAAATAAAAATAATAATAATAATTAAAGGAAATGGATCCTCGATAATATTCCTCGATAGATGATCTTTCTATTTTTTTAAATAAAGTAACAAAATATATAATTATCCAAAAAATATAAAATAAATAAATAAAGATGGATTATTTCCAGGAAGAATATAATTCTGACAATACATTCATAGTAAATGGTCCTCGAACATCAATGAAATTAGTAATGTTTTTAGACGCTTGTGAACATATAGCCCGTATTGCCCGTATAATTCGTCAACCATAAGGAAACGCCTTATTATTTGGTATAGGAGGTTCCGGTAGACAAAGTTTATCTAGAATGGCAACATTTTTATCAAACTACAAACTTTTCTAAATTGAAGTAATAAAGAACTACAATATGCGTTCTTGGCGAGACGATATAAAAAAAGCCTTAATGATGGCTGGTGTAGAAAACAAATACCTTACCTTCCTATTTGTAGACACTTAAATAGTATTCGAACAAATGCTTGAAGACATAAATAATGTAATAAACTCAGGAGATGTAACTGGTCTCTATTAAGAAAAAGACATGGAAGAAATTCTAACTGCTTGCAAGACTGATTGTTAAAAAAAAGGTTTATAACCTAACAAAATGAACATTTTTACCCAATATTTAATTCGGGTTAAGAAAAATATACATATAGTAATGGCTATGTCACCTATAGGTGAAGCTTTTACTGATAGATTAAGGAAATTCCCTTCTTTAGTTTCTTGCTCTACTATTGATTGGTTTACTGAATGGCCTGAAGAGGCTCTTTTGGGAGTCGGAAACGGACAACTAGTTGATTTTGAGGATGAATTAAAAATAGTCGGATAAACTTAAACTTTAGTTAAAATATTCAAAGATTGCCATAAGTCAGTAGAAAAAATCTCTATTAGATATTTAAAAGAACTCAAAAGACACAACTATGTAACTCCGACTTCTTTTCTTGAACTCCTTAACTTATATAAATCTATTTTAGATCAAAAAAACAAACAATTAACCGAATAAATTAACAGACTCAAAAACGGTTTAGATAAACTAGCCTAAGCAAATAAAGAAGTCGAAGAAATGAAAGTCACTTTAACCAAAATGAGACCTGAACTAAAAATAGCTCTCGAAGAAGCTGAAAAAATGAACGCAAGTCTCGCCATAGAGTAAAACGAAGCCGACCTAAAGTAAAAAATAGTTGCTAAGGAAGAAATAATAGCTAAAAAATAGGAAAAAGAAGCGCTAGATCTCGCCGAATAAGCTACATCAGCTGTCGAACAAGCTAATATATCACTACAAGCGACCTTAGTGAAAGTTAGTGAATTAAAAAAAGAACATTTAGTCGAAGTAAAATCCCTAGGATCTCCCCCAGAAGCAGTAAAAGTAGTCCTTGCGGCAGTTGTAATATTACTCTAAGATATAATCGTGAAAGATTTAGGTCAAGAGATAATAATGACAGCCGTAAAAGACCAAATTGGTAAAAAAGAAGAAAACTACTTCCTAACGGCTAAAGCCTATTTACTAAACGATCCCACTTAACTACAAAACTATCTCCAGAAATACAAACGAGAGAACATAAACCCGAAATATATCGAAAAACTGGAAAGGGTGTGTGCAGATCATCCCAAATATAACGAAAAAGATGCCTATGGAGCTTCTAAAGCCTGTGGTTATTTATTTAATTGGGCAAAGGCCATGCATGATTTCTACAAAGTATTTACTTCCACAAAGCCTTTAAGAGAAAAGCTTGAGGAAACCAAAAAAATTGTTGAAGAGAAAACATAAGAACTAAAGGAAAAAAAGGAAGCTTTAGAAGAAATTAACAAAAAAATACTTTCATTACAAAGGCTTTTTGACGAAAAAGTTAGACAAAAAGAAAACCTTATGAATTAAATTAAGGACTGTGAAGTTAAATTAGACCGTGCCCAAAAGCTTACAGACTCCCTAAAAGATGAAAAAACTCGTTGGTCCCAAGAAATAAAAGTCCTTTCCGAAAAAGGCAAAAACTACCCAGGAGATGCAGCTATAGCAGCTGCTATGTTGTCTTATGCAGGTGCTTTTGTGGCTTCTTTTAGGTAAGAATTAGAGCATAAATGGACTGATTATTTAGTTGATGCCAACATTTTGCATACTCAGGGAATTTCCATGAGGAACTTTTTGGGGGACGAAGTATAAATTTAGACCTGGAATATTTGCGGACTACCAAAGGATGGTACAAGTATCGAAAACGGTATTTTAATCGAAAAATCCCGAAGACGACCATTAATGATAGATCCCCAAAACCAAGCTAATAAATTTATTAAAAACCTTGGCAGAGACACCAAAGGTGACATTTTGGTTCAAAAAGTGAACGACTCACAGCTAATGAGGACAATAGAGTAAGCTTTACAATTCGGAAAATGGGTCCTAGTGGAGAATGTCGGAAAAGACATTGACCCATCCCTCGAGCCAGTTTTACAATAACAGTTAATAAAACAAGGAAATGAATACCTGATTCAATTTGGTGAAAAAAGATTGAATTATAATCCTGAATTCAGGTTTTTTATGACCACAAATTTACGTAATCCCCACTATAGTCCAGAAACTAGTGTAAAGGTCACAATTATAAATTTTGCAATTACTCAATTTGGTTTAGAAGAACAAATGTTAGCCAAAATAGTCGAAAAAGAAAACCCTAATCTAGAAAACCGTAAAAACGAAATAGTAAGGAAAAACGCCCAAGACAAAAAAGACCTAGTGTTAACAGAAGATTAAATATTAGGTTCTCTATCTTCTAACAAAGGAGGAATATAAGAAATCCTCTAAGATGAGTCTTTAATAAACCAACTTTAACACTCCAAAAAATTCGCTGCAGAAATAAACTAAAGAGTACTTGACTCCAAAAAAACCGAGCTCGAAATCGATAAGGCAAGAGAAGGTTATCGTCCTGTAGCTTATAGAGCTTCTATTTTATTCTTTTGTATATTAGAATTAGCCACAATAGACCCTATGTATTAATATTCTCTTTAATGGTTTATAAATTTATTCGAAATGGGGGTCGAAAACGCTATTCCAAGTGAAGATTTGGAATAAAGACTTAAGAACTTAAACGATTATTTTACTTATTCTTTATACGAAAACATCTGTAGATCCCTCTTCGAAAAACACAAATTGATATTCTCATTCCTCCTCACCTAAAGGATCTTAGCTTCCCAAAATAAAATAAACATGGAAGAATGGTAATATCTCCTTACAGGTCCATAAGGCCAAATTCAAGTAAAATAAAATCCCACAAATTGGATTTCAGAAAATAGTTGGGCAGACATATACAAACAACTTTACGGAATGAATGCTTTACAAAATTTCCAAGGTATAGAGGAATAGTTTATCTCCAACCCAGATTTATATAAGCCATTATATGATTCTACAACCCCTCATTTAATGACAATTCCATAACCTTGGGAAGACTAACTAAATTAATTCGAAAAAATAATCTTCCTAAAATTCCTTCGAAGCGACAAAGTAATTCCCGCAATATAAAATTGGATAAAGGCCGAACTAGGTGAAAAGTTCATCATAGTTCCCATTTTCGACCTTTCTAAATGTTATGCAGATTCTACAGTAGTAACTCCTTTAATATTCGTACTTTCTCCCGGTTCTGATCCCGTTACTGACTTCCAGAAATTCGCTGAAGAAAATAATATGACTCGAAAAGTTAAAATAATTTCCCTTGGACAAGGCTAAGGTCCAAAAGCTGAAAAACTCATTCTTGAAAGTTCCTAAGCAGGCGGATGGATTTTACTCCAAAACTGTCATTTGGCCACCAGTTGGATGCCTGAACTAGAAAGACTATGTGAAGATTTCAACGAAACCCTACATAAAGACTTCCGTTTATGGCTCACATCTGCCCCAAGTAGTTCATTCCCATCTAGTGTTTTATAAAATGGTGTAAAAATGACAATAGAGCCACCCACTGGTTTACGTGCAAATCTACTAAGAAGTTATAAAAATCTAAGTGACCCCGAGCTTAATGACTGTAAAAAACCCAACGAATTCAAATAATTACTATTCGGTTTCTGCCTTTTCCACGCCATTATCCAAGACAGGCGAAAATTCGGTGCAATCGGCTGGAATATACCCTATGAATTCACAAACGAAGACTTAAACGTGTGCAAAAAGTAACTTAAATTACTCATCGACGAATATAAGGATATTCCATATAAAGTACTCAACTTTTTAGGTGCTGAAATAAACTACGGAGGCCGAGTAACAGACGATAAAGATATAAGATTAATCAAATCAATTCTTAGTGTATATTGTTCTAAAGATGTCCTAAGGGAAGGCTATAAATTTAGTGAAAGCGGAATCTATATATCAGTCCCTCCCGGAAAATAAGAAGACTACATAAAATATATCGAATCTTTACCCTTAAATCCTGCCCCGGAAGCCTTCGGACTTAATGACAATGCCGAAATAACTAACTCTTAAAACGAAACAAGGCTATTACTAGAGTCTTTACTTTCTCTCCAACCAAGAGAAAGTGTAGGCGAAGGTGGAAAGACTAGAGAAGAAAAAATCGAAGAAATAGCCACTTATATTTAATAAAATACTCCCTAATGTTGGGACATAGAATCTATTTCAGCTAAATATCCCACAGACTACAACGAATCTATGAATACAGTACTTGTCTAAGAACTTATAAGATACAACAGATTACTTGCAATAATGTTATAATCTCTTGGCTAAGTAAAAAAAGCCTTAAAAGGTTTAATTGTAATGAGCGAAGATCTCGAATTAGTCGCCAACTCTTTACATGATAATTAAGTACCGAGTAAATGGAGTGAAAAAGGGCATTTATCATTAAAAGGATTAATGTCTTGGATTGAAGATTTAAATTAAAGAGTTAAATTTTTAAATGATTGGATATATAATGGACCCCCTAAAGTATTTTGGATTGCAGGCTTTTTCTTCCCATAAGCTTTTGTAACTGGTACTTTATAAAATTACGCTAGAAAACATATAATTGCAATTGATAAATTACAATTTGAGTTTAAAGCTATTGATGAAATTAATTATTAAGACGTATAGGAAAAACCAATAGATGGATGTTATATTTATGGAATATTCCTTGAAGGAGCAAGATGGGATTATAAAAAACATATTATTAATTTACCTAAACCTAAAGAACTTTATTCCGATTTACCATTATTCCATTTATCACCAGTGGAAAATAAAACTTTATAATAAAAAGGTGAATTTTTATTTTATTATTTATATAGTATATATTTATTTTTTATTAAAAGGTATATATTAATGTCCACTTTATAAAGTTGTTAGTCGATAAGGAACACTTAGTACAACAGGACATAGTACTAATTTTGTTATGTTTATGGAATTGCCTACTAATAAATCAGAAGATTTCTGGATTAGGGCAGGTGTAGCCTCATTTTTATCATTAAGATATTGAGTAATAATGGATTTTTTATAATTTGCTATATTTTATTAATATTATTTTTTTATAAATTTTAAATTTTTCTTTTTATTAAAATTATTTTTTTTATAAATTTTTACATTTTCTGTATTATATAAAAAAGTTACTTTTTTTTATAAAAAAATAGTTTTTATATTAATAAATTTAACTTATATTTAGAAATATAAATAATTATTAATATTTTATTAATAAAATGTTTTAATTTAATTTATATATATTCATATATTATTTATAATTTAAATTAGATTTTAATAAAAATAATTAAATATTTTGTTTTTTTCTATAAATTGTAAGCTTTTTCAATTTAAAAAAAATAACATATATTTAAATATAATATATTATTAACAAAATTTAACATATAAAAAAATGAATTTGGATTAATAAAAGTATATGAATCACATAATAATAAAAATATTGAAATAAATAAAAATTAAATATATGATTAAATATTTAATTAAGATTAAAATAATTAAACAAAATTCTAATTAAATGAAAATTAAAAAATATTTTATTAATAAAACCTTAAACAATCAAAACAAAGAGAATAAAAAAGCAAATAAAAAAGTTTAGATCAATTATCATAATATAATCATGTAAATATATATTATAATAAAATAGTTTAATATTTATTTCTAAAATATAGAATTATTTAATTTAAAATATTCCAAAGTTTGAGAAAAATAATGAATAACAATACAATCATAAAAATTAATTTAAATTAATGAAATCTAAAAGTTAAATAAGCTTATAATTACTAATATCTCCGAATAATCAAAATAAATAAAATAATTTTTCAAATAAATAATTATAAGAAAAGTGTTTAAATAATAATTCACAAAATAAATAATTTTAATAAAAAAGTGATTTAAAAGTACATATAAATTGTAATTAAAAATATTCTGAAAATATTAAATTGATAAAATAATAAAATACATAAAGCTAATAAAATATATACTAAGCCAATATTAATCACCAATAAAACTTAATTTTAAGTTCAAAGAATTAAAAATCATCACTAAGAAACTATTAAACACAAAGTAAAAAAAATAAATTCTAAAGTTAAAAAAAAATTCTAACATAACAAAAAAATATAAATAGAAAATAACTATTTGAATTTTTTACAACTATAATAAAACTATTCTACTCAATAACTTTTATAAAATAAAAACAATAAATTTAAAAATTCATCAATAAAAAGCTAAAAAAAGAATTCTTCTTTTAACGACTAATTACTTCAAGCGCCCTTATTTTAAAAAAAAATAGAAATAAAAATAAACTTCTATTCAAAATGAAATATAAAATTATAATATTTAAAATAATTAATAAATATAAAAATAAAACCATAAAAAAAAAAACAGATATATTTCCATTTCAAGTTACTCACCTAAATAGACATATAAATAAAATTTTATTGCAAATTTACAAAAAGCAAAAAACAAATAAAAAACAATAAAAAACAATAATTCTTGTTTTAATATATATAATTCTTTAATAAATGACTAATAACAAAAATTTTAATAAAAATAGCAAAATAAAGAATTTTAAATAAAAATAAATAGACCAAAAAAATAAATAAGTCAAAGACAAATAAGAAACTAAAAATATAATTAGTTTAAATATAAGCAAAGACCTTTTAACCAAAAATCAATTTTAAGAATAAAATTAAACTAAAAATAATTAAAGCAAACCAAATATAGAAATAGATTAATTATTTTAAAATTAAAAAATATGCAGTTTTTTTGATAGCATATTAAAAAAAAATATCAACGAAGATACTTATGGTGAAATAATGTAAAGATACGATTAATTAATATAAAAAGCATGTTTTTGTTTTTTTAAAGAAAGTTTTTAAAAATTTAAAATATGCATAAATTCTTTAATTCATTAAATAAACTAGAAAAATTAACAATTAGAAGTTTAACTAAAAGAATATAAAAAAAACGAAATAAATATGGGTTTAATTTAAGAATAAAAATAAATATCGTAAAAATTTAAAAATGATTAATAAAACTAAAATTATAAACTTATAGAGACAAAAAAATAAAACGAAAAAATAAATAAAAGTAATAGTTTTTTACATATAAAGAATATTGATTTAATAATTTAAAATTAAAAAAACTCGCAAAATAATTTCATTTAAAAATTTTCAAAAGAAACGTAAACTAATTTAGAAATAGTGTAATATATTTAAAAATAAGAAAAAGAAAATTATCATAATGTACTTGACGATTATATAAGGAAATAAGAAAAAATAATAAGAAATTATAAGAATAAAATAATTCAAATGATAAAAATATTAGTTGAATTATAAAACTAAGGTATAAATATAGATGAAATATAAAACAAAATTTTATAATAATCTAATAAATAAATAAATAATACTAAATCAGATTCTGAATCGGATAATTCCAATAATTTTAATAAATAATTACTTTAATCAAAAAGTAATTATTTAAGGAATATACTTGATTATGGAAATGAAAATTTAAATAATAATGGATTTGCTGCAGATATATCAAGTACATTATATATTTTTTTGTTATAAAAAAATAAATAATAAAAAAAAGTTATTAATGATTCAGATGAAAGTAGTTTTAATTTTTATGGAAAAAATTAAACAAAAGAATATAATAGTATTGAATAAAATTAGTTTAATTCTAAAAAAAAATAGAATTTAGATTAATAAATTCAAGAAATGCTAAAATTAGATTTATTAGATATTTAAAAAAACTATTATATAAATGATAGTATAAAATAGACTATTGATAATAATTGAAATATATATATATATAAATATTTAATTAAAAAAAAATTGTATATTTGAAAAAAAAAACAATATAATTTATTTTTAAAAACATAACCCTTTATTAATATTTAAATCTGTATTATTTTTCTTAATTTTTAATAAATAAATACATAAATAATTTCCAATATATTAATTTATTAATATAAATAAAATCAAAAATAAATATAAATTATATTTTATCATTTAATTAATTTTTTTATAAAATTAAAAAAGTATTTGAATTTATTTCCATTATTTATTTATTCTAAAACTATTTAATTATTCTAAATTTTTATTTTATTATTAAATTCAAAATTTTATATAGAAAATTTATCAATTTTATTTTTAATATTTAATTTTTAAAATTCTGCAAGTTTCTTTCCTCTTTATTCCGATTAATATTCTTTTATTTTTTCTTTATATAAGTCTTTTGATATTTCCTTTATATCTGTTCTTTATTTTAATTTAAATACTATAAAAATAATCCTGCACTTAAAAGTGCATACGCACCCACTATCATAATAAATTTTTTTCCCATAGATAAATTCTTATCTTCTTATATAAGTAAAAACTCTGAATATTATAATATTTATTAATTTTCAGGATCAAGCTTTATTATTTCTGCTGCTATGAATTTCGCTAAATTATATTTTCCTAATTAAATAACTCTATCTAATTCAGTAAAATATTTATTTATTTTATCATTTTTTTCTAAAAGTATTTGCTCTTAAGTTTTATCTGTTTTACTCATTTTTTTGTTTTGTTTTATTTAAAGAAGATATTTTAATAATTTTTAAATAAAAATGTATTTTTTTATTAAAAAATTTATTATTAATAAAAATATATATAAAATTATAAAAAAATGTATTTTTAAATATAATTTCCTCAATAAGGTTAATAATCAATTTTTAAGTAATCTGTTTTTTCACTTAATTCTTTATACAATATTTTTGGTATTTATGGAATAAAATCTTTTATGCTTTTTAATATTTTTTTTTATATATATATATATATATATATATATATATATATATATATATATATATATATATATATTATATATATTTTTATATTTTTTTTATTTTTATTTTTATTTTTATTTTTATTTTTATTTTTATTTTTTATATTTATATTTATTTTTATAAAAAAAAAATAGTTCTTACTATTATATTGACAATAGGAGTTATTATAATTTCTATTTTTATTATTTGAAAACTTTTATTATATTTAATATCATTTAATTATTTAATTCAGGAACAAATTCATTAACTCTAAAATAATGAAATAGATTAAAAAATAAATAAATAAAAAAAACCCATCCAAATTCAAACAAATTATTTATACTTATAATGATATTTAAATTAATTCTTATAAAATATCATAGACTAAATCAGAGTTAATATTTTTATTAGAATAACTATTTAATTTAAATATAAATAAATCATTTAAATAAATAATATACTATTTTAAATTTATTTTAAGTATTCTTAATTTCTTTAAATTAGCCAATTATTAGCCTAATTTTAAAAAGCAAATTTAATCTAACTAACAATTTCTCCATCTAAATAATAAAATAATAAATATTATAATTAAATTTAAATAATTAATATTTATAACTCAGAAAAATTTAAATCTAGATGTTATAAATGTTTAAGTTATTCCAAACATTATATCATTTTTCCAAAAGACTCATTATTTATATCGTTTCGTCTTTTATATATTTAATAAATAAAAATATTAATAATTATACTTTGATATTTCTAATTTTAATTCACATATTTAGTTTAAATTTGAAATAGAAGTAAATAATTAACTAAATGTTTCCTATTATAATTATCCAAAACTATTAACAAAAAGTTTATAATATAATATTTTAATTAATCTTTTTACTTAGAAATGTTTAACCATAATACCTATAAAGTAAATTATTTACTTAGAGAATTTGATAATAATAATAATCCTTCATCATAATTTTACCAACTAAATATAAAAAATATTCATTTATATATTTAAAAATACATTATTAAATACTTCTCAATATTTACTTCTAAAACTAGCAAACTTTTACATTATTAAATTATTTTAGAAATAATTTAATAAGTATTAAAATTAGTATTTGACCAACTATTTTTTTAATAAATAAATAAAAAACCATTAACAAAAATATATATAATTTAATTAAACTTCTAACAACTTAAAGACAAAGCTTATAAATAATCTTAAAAATATTAAACAGTTTAAAGGAAAAGTTATAAATCAGCAATATAATCATTATTATCTCCAAAAAGATTAGTTCTATTTATATATATATATATATATATATATATATATATATATATATATATATATATTCTTAAACCATATTAAAATAGTTTTTTATGTACCTTTTGTCATATTTAAATTTTAAAAAATAAGGAAATTTGATTTATTTCAAAATATTCTGAGAAATTTCTTGGTCAATAAATTAATGAAAAACTATTTTTTTAATATTTTCATTTAAATATTAAATATCCGGTTGCTTTTATATTATAACAGATTAAGATTCAAGCACTTTTAGATTAAGATTAGTATATTATTATTATTTGTATATTTCTTCATCAAATCTTTAAATTTTGTGTATTTATTTTTCATAGCTTTTAATTTTTTTTTATAATTCTTCATTTTTTTAAAAAAGATCTATAATATCGTTTTTTTATTTAATTAAAAGTTCATCTTTTTAGCTTATTTTTTATTATAAAAAATCATTTTCATTCTTCATTCTTATACTATATTAATTTATAATTAAAAATTATAATATTATAATATTAAACGCAAAAAAAATACTTAAAACTTTAGTTATTATTAATATTAATATCATTTAAAGCTTATCTATATAAACTTTCTTTTAATTCATTTTCTTTTTTTTAATATTAAGAATATAAATTATTAAATCTTTTTTCTGAATTTTCATTCTATTCTTTTAAACTTTTTAATTAATTTTCTAAATTCTTAGCAATAGTAATAGGAAATTCTTCCGAATTATTCATAAATTGAAGATCTTATAAAATTTTTTCATTTTTATAATTAAGACTAAATCAATATATATATATATATAAAACAAAAAAAATACATTAATATATATAAAATACTCTTTTATAATATTTTTCTATTAAATGTTTACAGCTTGTAATTAATTAATATCCATTTTGGCTTTTTCCAAATCTTTCTATAACTTTTCAATAAAATTTTATAATTAAATATTATCTTCTTTAAATTTTAAAATAATTTTTTCTTATTTTAAATTTCCATCATTAACCAAATCCACTAAATTGTTTTATTCTTCAATCTTCTTCTTTAAATTTTCAATTTCCTACCCTTTAGTCTATACTGAATTTTACAAATCTTCCAAATATTACTACTAACTGACTTAATTTTTAGTGCTTTTTAAAATTTCTTCCTATTATTTTGACAATTCGGGCTATACCTTATTAATTTCAAATTATAATTTTTCTATTTAATTTTATTAAGTCCTAATTCGATTCTTGTAATTTTAAATAGTTTAACTCTCACTTTATTAAACATACAAAATTCTACTAAAATTTTAACTTTAATTAAATATAAAAAAAATAACTCCTCCAATAAAAATAATAAAATAATAATCCTCTAAAACATATTTAACATCCATATATTAATATATAATTCCGAATTTACTATAATATAATATTATTATTATTATTTAAGTTAATTATACTATAAATCTATAAAATTCCTTTAAATTATAGTATCTTTTACTTTTCTCATAACCTTCATAAGTAAAAAACTGTAATTCATAAAATCTAAAACAAAACATATAATCATAAAAACAAAGTAAATTAGTTTACTTTTCATAAATTTTAAATATATAAATCAATATACAACATAAAAAATCACATCCAATAGTAGTCCATACGCTTATAGGTTTTAAAATATAACAAAATACTGCCCAAAGGCATATTCTTGATGAATATTAACTAAATAAAATTACATAAAATTAAGTTTTTATTTATTCTTTCGAACTTATTTATTTATATTACTTAATATTAATATATGATAATAAAATAAAATGTTTACTTTTCAAAATCGTTATTTAATAAAAGGAAATAAATTAGGTTTGAGTAATATAAATTTAAAAAACTAACACCTATAGAAATCCATAGATATAAATGAGAAAAATCCAAATAAAAAATAACATGAATCAATATAAATAAACTGGGTCCACTTTATTATATTCCTTATAATTTTTAAAACTATTTTTCGCTTATCTGATAAAATTCCGGAAAAAAACAACGCAAAATTTAACTTATATAAAATATTTCAAAAAGTAATTTTATAATCCATCTTCCATATTCTAACTTATAATGATATAAAAATTTATAAAAGTATGAAAATGCGATAATTATAGCTAATACTATTGAATGAATATATATTTCATTTTAAAATAATAATGTCAAACTTATTATATCAAATACAATTTAAGAATAATATATTATTATTTTTAATAAATTTTTTATAAAAACTCTAATAAAATGAGGAGAATTAGTTTCCATTTATTTATTTTACATTTTTGATTTAAAATAAATTATTTATTTATTTTTTTTTAAAAAAAAAAAATTAAAAATTCCTTTTTTTTCAAAAAAATAATAATTATTAAATATTTATATATTATAAAAATTTTATATATATTAATTTTTATTAAAAATTGTATTTCTTTATGTTATATAAATATAAAACTATTTATTAAATACTATATAAAATATTTGAAGTATTTGTTAAATTTTAATATTAATATTATATATAATATTTAACAATTTTTTTTTTAATTTTTAATCCTAATAAAGAATTTCAATATATTTAAAAATAATTATTATATATTATATAATTAGTATCAATTATAAAAATAAAATAAATTTTAAAAAATACATATATATATAATATTGAATATATAGAAATTATTTATTTTATTAAAATAAATAAATTTTATATAGATATTTTTTAATAAATATATAAAATATATTTTTTTAAATTTAATTATATATTAAATAAATATATAAATATTAATTATATATTTTTTTTTTTTTTCAAATATATTGAAATATTTGATTAGTAAAACTAATCAAGATCTATATATTATCTAAAATTATATGGGAAGTAATTAACTAATTTAAAATAATATTTTTATTTCTTATATATTATTATAATCCTTTGTTGTCTTATTATTATCTTGATTTATCAAAATTATATAATAAATTTATTTATTGTTGTTTTAAATTTTCCTTTTTTTTTTTTTTTTATTAATTAAACAATAAATTCAATAATCTTTTATAAATATTAAAAGAAAAGAGAAATATTTACTTTTCTAATTTCTTTTATATGAAAAATAAGCTGTTCCTCTTTATATCAAAGAAAAAATTTCCTTAATTTTTGCATAATATATCCAAATAATTTGGCATTTTGAATCAATTTTAAACAAATAAAGTATTCTATCTGCAATAACAAAAAATTGAGACAAATAAAAACCAGCATAGTTTAGAAATATTTCCCCAATAATATATATGTAAAGAAATAAAATTTTACATTAAAGGAAATTATGAAAGATATGAATTTTACAAAGAATTAATATATTGACTTGAAAAAAAAATATTTTTAAAAGAATTTATTATTGCTAAAAAAAGGCTCTAAAGATATTTAGGTATTGTATGGAATTCAAATAAATTTCGATAAATATAAAAAAAGACTTAAAATTATAGAGTAATTTAAATAAATAATCAGTTTAAAAGTATAAGTAAGTAACAGTTTATACAGATATTCAGATTATATATTGTTTCGATATTATAGCATATCTTATTCCTTATTTGATATTTTATTATTATTGCAGTAATATATATATATATATAAAAATAAAAATTTATTATGAAGTTATCAATTTTAATATATAGTTAAATAAATAAAATTTATATCATATTCCATAATATATACATTATATATTTATATTTTATTTTTAATTTTATTAACATTAAAAACATCATTTATAAAAAATTACATAATTTTATAGTTTATTACTTACCAATTTTTACAGAAACATAAATATTTATTTTGCTTTAATTTACTACTTATAAACTTTCATTTATTAAGTATATAAAGTGAAAATAAAATTTAATAAATTAATTAATAATTCATTATTTAAAATAAAAAATAAATAAATAGAATGCTAAATAATTTTAACAAAACTGATAATTATTTGTAATCAATTTTTGATTTACTAAATATTTTAAATTAAGTTAATAAACAGCAAATATAAAAAGAATAATTAGCTTAAAAACTATAAATCATATGTGAATTATAAAACATGAATATTGTATATTGTATTAATAGCTTATATATCTTCCCTATAAATATATTACAAATCAAATTAATATTATTAACCTAATATAAAAACAGTATATTTATTAAAAAAATAATTTAAATACAGATTTTAAAAATATAAGAAAAAAATGAATGAGTAATAAATAAATTAATATTTAAAATATGAAATCTAATAATCAAAATTAATTAAATATATATAATAAATGGTATTTATTTTCATATTAATTTATTTAATTTTTTTGTTTTAAATATTACAAAAAAAAAATTATATTTACTTTATATAATTTTTTTTCGATATAATATAAATATTTTTTTTTCTAATTATCAAATCAATATTTCTTCTTTTTTTTTAAATATTTTTTTTTATTTTATTATTCTTTAATATTTTATTATTATTATTTTACATTAGATATTTTTCATATAGTAATAAATATATATATATTTTTTAATATATAAAAATTATGAAAATAACAAAATTTTAAATTAATTTTACATAAGTATATAAATTTTATTAAATAAATATTTTTTTATTTATATTTTTAAGCATATATTTAATAATTTTATTTTCATCATTTAATTTTATTCTTTTTCTATTTTATTGATATATTTCCTACTTTTATAATTACTTTTTCTTTTTACAACTAAATTTTTACAATTAAGTATTAAATATATATTTAATTATAAAAAATATTTTATTTTTAAGAAATTATCTATATATTTTCTTCTTTATTTTTAAAAAAATATATTTTATTAAATTTTTTATTTTATATTATAAAAATATTAATTATAAAATATAAATTTATATTTATATAAAATATTAGTTAAAATATTATTTATTGTTATAAAAATTCATGCTATTGGCCTTTAAAATGATTTTCTTTTTGTTTTAATTTATTCGAACTATTTATTTTTAACAATCTCAAAATATCTCAGTTATTTATCAGTGTCTTTAATATTTGCCATTTTCATCCACCAAGATGGATCTAATTACAAAAATTCTTCAAATTACTATTTATAAGGGGATTCAGACAATAGAGTTATAATAAACTCATTATTAAGTTTAAATTAATTAAAATAATCTAAAAATTATTAAAAAAATTGTGAATCACTACCATATTATCTTTTTAAAATTCTTCTAAATCCCTTTAGAATATTTTTATTGTAATTAGTATCGTTTCTAGGTAATTAATTACTTTTTTTTTCTTTTTTTTTAACTTTTAGGTTATACTTCTTCTGTGCTACCTTAACTTCCTTTATTACTATTTTTACTTGAAGTTTAATTTTCATTTTTTAAGTTTGTGCATTAACTTAAATTAACTTTTTGAATTTTTTCATTTTAATTAGGTTTAATTTATTTATCGGCATTATCTTGTAAAGTGTTTTAAATTATTTAAATTGATTATAAATTTTATTACTATTGATTTTAAATAAAAGTTTACTAAGAATTATTTTATAATATAAAATTTTAATGCTATTTATTTTATAGTAAAACAGAGTTATGAGAATTTTTATTATTAATATTTATTTAATTTGAAAATTATTATTTCATATTATCTAATTTATTACTAAAAGTTTAAATGTCTTATATGTTATTATTATTCTACTATTAACCATTATATAGAAGAGGCTATATTTATGAAATATTAAAATTTTCAGTTTTTTATATAATCATTTATTGCTACTAAAGCAATTACTAATATTATATCTACAATAATTATTACATGTTAAGCTATTATTATTGTTATTACTAAATTTATTGTTAATTTTATAATATCTACTAAATTTATATTTGATTTAATTTAACTAAATTTTCAAGCTAATCCATTATTTTAATTTAAAATTTATTTTTACAAAAGGTTTATTGTTCAATGATACTTTTAATTTGTTTTTTTATGATTTTTTAAAAAAATAATAAAAATGAAATTTTAAAAAATATATTTTATATGATTTACGTGTTATTTGTAATTAACTATATTTATTTGTTTTATTTTTAAAATCTATATATATGTTATATTAGTTTCATTAAGCTTCAAATAATTATTTTTTATTTTTTTCTATTCCATTAAATATATTAAAAAAAGTGTAAAATAGAAATTTCTGTTTTTAAAAATAGAAAATTTAATCAAAACATGTAATAAATATATATTTATAAGTATTAGTATTTATGTTATACTATATATTGACTTTAAAATAATATAATTTAGATTTCTTTAATTAACAACCCTACTTTTCATATTTTTAAAAAATTTTAAATATAAGCATATAATTTTTATATTTTTAAAGTTTTCTCTTTAAAATTATAAAAAGAATTCGTAAATACTAAATATTAATAATCATTTAGAGCATTATAATATTTTTTTAATTTTTTTTTTCTGTGTTTATAAAAGGGATTAAAAATTAAACGGAACATATTTAATTTTATTAATATAAATAATACATAATCAAATCATTTTAATTATAAATTAAATAAATTTAAAATAAAAAAACATATTATCTTAATAAATTTAAAAAATTTAATAATTTTAATATAAAAAATAATCTAAATAGAAATTAAAAAAATAATAAAATAATCTCAATTATTTAACATTTTTTTTACTATTTTTTAAATCAAAATAAATTTTATTATTTAATTTTTTTAAATTAAATATAAAAATTTTTAATTTAATTATATAAAAAAAAAAATTAATGAATTTTTATTGTATTTTGAATAACTACTAATTTTTATATTTTTATAGTTTTTTTTAATATATATAAATATTTTAGAAAACAATATATTATAAAAAATAATGAATAATTAAATAAAATAGAAAATATTATAATAATTAAAGATACATATTGTTTTACTTATAATAATATATTAATTAAATAAATATATTTATATTTTATACTAATAACTTTTAACAATAAAACTCTTATTCTTCTTAATCCATTTCCCCTTGTTCTTATAACAATATAGATCTTTTTAAAATTAAAATAATAATAAAATAAAAAATATATAATTAAATAAAGCATATTTTAAGAAAGTTTTTAAATTATTAATATACAATATAATTATCATAAAACAAAATTTAATATATGACATAAAAAATACAATTTTTTTTTTATAATTAATTCAGAATTGTTATTATTATAGGAAAAATTATTTCAATTATTTTTTTTCGAAAAGTGTTTTTAGACTTTATTTTAGATGATTTAAATT